AACAATCTGTTGCTGGGAGACTGAAGCTTCGAGTAATTATCATGGTCAAGTCTGTTCTTCATTGAAAACTTCTATGGTAAAACAGGCCAACTTACAGCCAACTAGTTCTAGTCTCTGCTTCGTCTATCTTTTTTCTATCCGTTATATCAAAATTGATGATTTCCTGTGCCCCAGTCTCTTGTGTGCCAACCCACAAATGTTGTGGTTCAACATTGAGCCTAATCAAAGCAAGCAGTACCACAGCATTTATGGGTTGGCACACAAGAGACTAGGACATAGGAAATGATAGATTCGGTATTAAGGATAGAAATATGATAGACGCGGTTGAGACTATAGCTACTTGGCTGAACATAGACGTGATCCATGAAGCAATGGCTTAACCATGAGAATTACTCAGCGGCATTAGCCTCGAGTTACGCTGCAAAAGGCAGTGCGGAAAATAACACCTCAAGTAGCACAGATTGGGTGGCAAGGTTCGATTGAAATACTTGAACCAGGGAGATAGCAATGGATCCTACGGGGCAAGAAGGAGAGTCTGATAAGACCTCTGGAATGAGGACTTCGCAACAATAGGGCAGACTCTGATCAACATTCATAGCACAAGGGTGAAGGGGGTGAGAAAGGCAGTGTGGAGTGTGGAGAGTTCCCATGAAATCCGCTCGAAAGGACACACCATACCGCATTTAAATAAGCAAGTCAAAAATTGTGATAGTGAAGTCGTGATACAAGGATATAGGATTGGTGATTAGCCTATGGCGGAAGAGATACCACGATTGTTTTGCAGGCAATTGATCAAAGGATCGGCTTCACTTGTCTCTTTGACGTGTTGTATTGTGGTGCTAAGACTGGCAATGCCAACTGGCGATCCTGGCGAAACTTCTGGGAATGTACTACGTCCATGGTCCGACTCTAGAAATTAGCATGGATACTATGGATTCCGGACTAGATGCATTCCTTTAGGTCTTTATACCAATATGTGCAAGATAAGAAAATAAGTTCAAACAACGTCAGTCCAGGAAAACTTAACGTAATACTAGCAAAAAAGTATAATTAAAGATTGCTTGCTAATAATTAGTTGTAAATAGAACAATTTTACACGTGAAAGAATAGGCATGGGCATTCAATTAGACGCGATCAAGTATTTATCAATTTGACGAGCTATAGATGGAAACCAAATATGGCTGATTATGAAAATTGCGATTGAGATGAAGGTCGCGGAAAAATCAGGGAATGTGCCCAGCCAAATACATGATGCTAGAAAAACACAGGATAAGATAGAAAGAAGACGGAAACAGGATACATCATCACAAACACTACTGAAAATGTAACTAGGTTGCAAAAGCCTTACTAGCATACTCTTTTATTTGCGTGGTTTCGATAAGCTCTAAATAAAGTAGGTTAGCCATAAATTGAAAATATTCAGAATTAATGAAATTATTCAAGCTCACCAAATTTTGCAAAGATTACTCACCTAAAGCCAATTCTTCTTCAGCACTGGTTTTAAAAGCCAATTTGGCTTCCTCTACACTAGCTCGAATGGCTTCAGTTTCATGTATCTTAGTCTCTAATATCCATTGCTTACGAGCCTCCACGAGCTATGATCAAGATAAATAAATATTTATAGGTAAGAAATGGAGAAAATGAAAATCGTGAAAAAAATTTATAGATGAATAAATAAACTGGTAAACCACACGTTGTTATTAGTGAGTGAAGAGACCTAGCTTAAAGTCAAGTCATAATGCATCACTGTTAATAGACCAAAAAATAGGATAGTTACAACTAAAATCCATACTTTGTAACATGACAATGAATTTTAATTTAAAAAAGTTTTGGTGAGAACATAATTAATGGAAATCGCTTTTATGCCGAAGGCCTGATAAGATAGATATATAGTCAAACCATGTTAATGAATTTGACTTCCAGGATAGCTAGTGCTTTGATGAGCACTAAAGAGGAATTTAAAACTGAGTTATGAGTCTCTTATGCCTTATTGAAAGCCATTCCCATTAAATACATTAATGGAAAAAGCATGGCTGAATTTCACAATGTTACAACGTATGGTGGAATGATAATGTTATCGCCGAACGCTCATGGCCCGGACTTGAATAGATACCAGGACACATATTAAGTGCGCGACACAGCCTCTTGGGAAGGAATAATAAATGAAATTCGACTTAATGATGACATTATATTACTCGTGTCACAATGGGCAACTCAATCAACAGACTATGAATCACTAAAACGTTGTAAAGGTATCTTATTTTTGACAAATAGATCGTTTCAGGTTAACGATGTTAGCACTAATGAATTTACAGGTTATTTTAGTTTAGGTAATACACCTTATAATGTTAATAAAGCAACATAAAGTGTGTGCATAGATATGCATGACAAATTTTTAAGTAATACGTTGTGCAAAAAAAAATTGTCTAACGATCCTCCTATTTAATACGCCTAAGATATGAAAACGAGTGGACAAAATATAAAATATACTGTAGTTAGTGGTTTAACATAGTAGGAGTATTAATAGGATGTTGGAAAAATCCATATCATAACTTTTAACCAATTATACAATTGGAGCCTACATTGTCCATTTTACCGTATAAAATGAGACATATTATGGAATAACTTTATTCAGGGACTTTGGTAATTCATCAATGATCATAACAAAGAGGGGTAGACTAGAGCGGGTAGACTATGGCTTAGACTTCGCCTAGGTCTCAACAGCACCTCAAGCAGGACTCGAACAGTAATGGTGCAACACATAAGCTTGAAACGTTATCCACTACACCATACTACTGCGAAGGCCCTTGGGTCGCAGAGCAAGTATGAATTTCAAGAAAAGCCGGGTGTTTCCAGCATCATATTCTGTGGTAGGATTGTCGATGAAGCGAAGTTGTATTTGCTACGGCAATCAATAAC